ATACACGAGAAAAACCGCACTGAGTGAGTGACAAAAAGTGTGCGTGGGGCAAATGGTTGGTTGGAACATGTCCCTCGTGAGTGTGAGTGATGTACGTATAGGATCGGACTCGAGTCGAGGGGCTACTACTTCTCTTCACCATTGAACATGTTGTTTCCTTTTTTTGCTAATAGTGGATGGAATGGAGATTTTTGTATGGAATATCCTCACCCACACACACACACAACAAAAGTTGCTTGCAAGAACTTGTGTTAGTGATCTATATATATATGCACACCGATCAAGTAGTGTTAGATTATTTCGTTTGATGCTCGATCAGTACGCTCGATCATTACTATACAATGGCATTTGGGGTTGTGCAACTGTATGGTTCGGACCGGACCAAACTCATGAGAATTGTGGTGCAATAATGAAAAACTTTTTAGAATCAACAACTACTAGACTACCATTGCATTCAGTCCAATTCGATCCAAATATATATTAAATTTGGTTCGATACGGTCCCGTACGGACCACACCACCGTTAAGGGCATCCACTAGAATTTAGATGTAAACAATATCCTTGATTATAACAAGAAATTTGTTGGCGGCATAATTATTAAACATAATTATTATACTACTCAAAGTCAAAACCAATGGGCCACAAGAAATTAAGTTGGCAGCTGGAAGGTTGATAGAAGTCACAAGAAAAAGGGTTAGTTATGTTCATTAGGAGAACTGCACCGTCAATATAATTAACCATGGTTTGTGAAATCATTTTGGAGGTCAATCAAATAAGTTAGCGAAATAGTATTTAATAGTTATTACAATATTGGTATAATACTATCAAAATCCATGGTTATGATCACATCTCATTGTCGTTCTAAATATGTAAAATTGAATGACCCAAAATTTTCATATTAATTTGGATAACACTATCTAATTTTCATAGAATGGTAAGATTGTCATTGCTGCCTTGCTGGTCACTTAAACAAAGCCAAAGATTAACATGGAAATGGGCGGGGCATGTCGTTTTGCTAGTTTAGCAGCCGCGTTTCTTTGCTTCAAAGGCACCCCAATGGATCAAAATAAACAATTATATGTAACTCCAACTACAAGTCTGTCTATTTCTCTTTTGGTGGGATAATTGTAATGATGATTGATGAATGCGAGTGCTGGTACTGCTGGCGGCTATGGCTGGGTGTTGAATTGAGCGGGAAGTAAGAATGGTAGAGAATGGTATAAGATATTTGCATAATTTTTTTTCAATAACTCAAGTTATTGGGACCAATGGGTTCATAATAGTGGCGGATACATGGTACTTTTTTTTGTCCCGGGACACCCCTAATTTTTGGGAACACGATTATCCAACCTCGGTAGTAGTTTCGTATGGATAAACAAAATATAATTGGTAATCTGGGACACCCCTAAAATTTTAATAAACGATTATCTTACCCTCGATAGTAGTTTGCGTATAATTAAAAAACTATAAGTGGTACTCTGTGTTATTCAAATCTATGACACTCTTATTATTAAACATCTTCTCCATTAGGTTACAACTCATTTGTTGTTCTATTTTAAAGAGTATATAATGGTAAAATCGCAATTTCTTATCCCTAGGAGTACCCCTGATTTGAATTGATTTTATGGTTACACTGCAAGTGTTGAAACAGTCTTTTCAACTTTGAATTACATCATGACACAAGGTTAGAAATTGAATATAGGATATACCGATTTGTTGAGCAGTGTAGACACCAAATCTATCTTATATTTTTTTCGAAATATGAAAACACATCGTGGCTTTTTGTCAATATTTGTACTAATTGGATATTTTATTATTTATGTATTATTTAATTTTACTATTTAATTATTAATTTAATTTAATTTTTGGAAGAGGACACCTCTACAAAAAAAAATCTGGATCCGCCACTGGTTCATAACATGGTGTCCAGAGCCTGGTTTGATCAGGTGGTCGTGTGATCGAATCTCCACGACCCCAATATTAATAGTTGATTAAAACACAAGATATGATGAGTCTGTGCAAACTTCAAGCCTATGGGTTGACTTTCGTTTGAAGGAGCGTATTAGCGAATGGTATAAGATCACCTAAAAAAAAAAAAGTGAGGAAGGAAAGGAAGAAAGAAAGGTCGAAGTTCTCTCGAGCTTATCCAAACAAAAGCTCAAAAGCAAGCTGCCCCTCTTGCCATGCCATGCCAATTTCACTATCATCATCAATTTCCTACGTATTATATCTTCATTTCCCAAAAAATGCCTCTCATATTCTTAAAATACTTTTGGCTTTGAAACGATCAGGAGGCAACATCGCATTATCATACACTCTCTCTCGAATATGTTTACGGGTTGAAGTTTGCAGAGTTTTCGTTGTATTGAGTCTGAATCAATTGTTAGCAGCATCATGCGATTACTAGGAGTATAAGGCATGAACTTAAACCTTTAATTCATGCACTTAATTATGACTCAGAGTGATTGTAGGAGAGTATATACATCAATCTCGTTAACTTTTTTTTTTTTTTTTTTGCATTGCAAGGAGGCTAAAAGCCAAGAAGAAGAAGCGAGTACATGGAGGTTATGAAGAGAAAGATGAGTTCGCCACAACTCGGCGCTCAAAAGTAATGCCCCTAATGTCTTCCTGAAGGATCTGGCCGATGCCTGACGGTGGATCTGCCAACTCATGCATACCGTAGGGATAGACGAGACTGTGCTTCGAGAGCCAGTCCGCGGCTCTATTCCCTTCCCGGTATGTGTGAGACAGGTAGACCAACCAATCTAGACTCATCTTCCTGCGAATAAGCCCCAGCAGAGTAGCATACGGATGAATAGGGTCAATCCGATTCTGAATTAACTGAATCGCTAACTTAGCACAACCATTCTAATGCGGAAATATTTTGTTTGATTGATTTGTAACTTTTTGGACCCTCTAGAATATTGTAGTTGGGAAGCCGGCTGGAATTTGGAATGGGTGGGTTAACCGGCCGGTAACTAATCAACCGGACTGCAATGACGTCCCACCAATTCAAAATCCGACTCTTTTTAAGCAATATTGAGGAGTCATCCGTCTTAATCACCGAAAATTAAACAAACCCACTTTGGCTCTTTTTGGGATTTGAATTTGAATCAAAGCATGCAAATAGTATATCTTGCTCTATCCTCTCTCTAATGAAACCAAAAGCATAGTTTCTTTCCAGAAAAATCTACGTGAAATGTTTGCTTGCCAAATAAGACTTAACATTTTATGGATCACCATGAGTATATATAGAACATGATTAAGTTAACTGGCTACTGAAACAACGAAAAGTTGCTCTAACTAATATGCACTGTAGACTTTGATTTGTGTAATACAAATGCAAAAGGGAAGTTCTGAGGTTTTTGAATTGTTTTTCCCTCTTGAATTCTTATTTGTACTAAAAAATATATCAACACTTATATTGATAATATACGAGGCATTTGAGTTGGATCTTGTGGAGTTAGAGTTTCAAGTTCAAATCATTATAGTCAATGTGGACATAACCTTCTCATCAAGCGAGGTCATGTCACCGCTATAACTAGATGAACCAAAGACTAAAGAAATATTCAAAAATCCAACAACTCTATGCATACTTCAATGTATTTTTTGTACCTTTTTCTTTGCAAGTAGGTCATAATCATTGGTGCATTAATCGTGTTCAAATACTGAGTTTTATTAGTAGGAAAATCATTCCAAACCCTTTATAACCCCGCATTTTATGGAGAGTAGATAGACGGAGTCAATGATAATCAAAGATTGCATCAACTCTTCGTAAACAATGGCAGAACCACTCATATAGTAGGACCCTCTTTAGTAACTTTCAAACTATAATACGTAAATTTTGTAACAAATACGAGACATATCACACTGGGTAAGGTTCTAGCTGGCCATGCTCTTCTATTAGGGTTTGAATCTCCTAAGTTATTTTTTCAACCATTTTCCTTATATTTCTAACTCCATCATTATCCATGAATGTAGAACCATCTCAAGTCTCAACTGAAACACATAAACCTCGCCTGCATGCATATTATATATTTGCTTGTGTTTGCGTGACCGGTCTCAACAGTTCAATAGGAAAAACCAAACCACTTTTTAAAATGTTTCGGTTACACAGTTCTTTCAAACTTGAGGCCAGCCTGAAGTTTAGGTAAAAGCAGTGGACTCCCTCTTTTATTTAATGGAAGAAAAGATCATCTACAGAAGCAAAGAATTCATTCAAATTGGTAAGTAATAAAGATGGGTTGTTCACCTAACTATGCCAAGCATTCCCCATCTGTTATATGATGCATCAGTAACAGTGTCCATTAGTTGAAACTTGAAACTATCTAGAACCCCACTTGGCTGAAAATGACTAGCAACGTTAAATCTATTGATATCTTTTTGTCCTTTGATTTAATTCCCCAGAACAAATCCACCTTTTAGGTACTGAAATTTTGAACTACCACTTTGAATTGATACAATCTGAATTCTGAACAGTCACTGAACTTTTGGGGTGGATTTCCAGAAATCCCATCTTCATCTCAATTCTCAGCTCAGCATTTTTCATATCTTTGCCCTTTGATAAGTAACATTTTGACATACACGATTCAGACGAATTACAATCGGGCGAGTTCATTTAACATCTTTATGGATCTGATTTGTTAGGGATCTCAAAGCTAGTGACCATTTATTTAAAATTGGCGCGTACCCTTTTGGAAAGCAATTGATTGCCACTTTTCATATCTCCTATCACACTCCACAGTCCACAAACCACACCCACCAGGACTTCCTGCCATATGATCTTTCGGCCCTTTTCTATCCTATCCTTCTTTTCCAGGCAAGGTAATGCGCAGAAATGAATCACCATTTTCCATTTTCTCCAAGAAAGTCCAAAGAATCAGACCAACAAAGTCAAGATAGCTGAGCAAAGAGACATGGAAAGTCGGGCAAACAGCAATAACTTTCTCAGTAGGGATTTGGTGCCCATTTATTGCATGTCCAATAAGCCTGAGGAAGTGTCATGTTTCAGCATAGGAAGAATAGTCGATCACTGTTCTCACAACCAAGGGAATCCTAACAGAATGAGATGAGGAATCATCATCACCATAACCATCTTCCCAAATCAAGTGTCCAAATGTATACCTCCCCTGGATCATCCTCTTGGCATGAAAGGTGACCCTGAACTCGACCTTCTTCGTACGCGAATCAAACACCAAGATCGATGGCTCCACCGTGACACGAACCCCATCTGGAGCACGAACTCTAGCAATGTAGACCGAATTCACAGGACCGACATTCGTGACAGTTCTCGTCACGGTCAGGTTCTGCCTCAGCTCAGGGATGGTGATGGATGGCACGTTGAGATCTTCCACCATGTCGTTGGTAGCAGCTCCTAGTTTCCGGCATTGGGTTTTCTCTCCCTGCGTTATGCTGCTGATTGCCGAGTCGTTGTAGCCCATGGCACAGAGGAACCTGACATAATCTGAAGGACCCATGTCGTAGACTAGACCGGGATCCATGGCCTTGTTGGGGTCGACATG